TTTTCTTCATTATAAAATTATAAAATTGAATTTATGAAATTAAACATAGAAGTAATTAGCAATCAAAGTGTGTATACATTTTTTTTGGACACCCTGTATATATATATATATATCATTTTTAAGAAAGTCGCAGAACCAACGTGTATCACGTACATACATAGAGACCTATCTCTGTTGCTGTAACAGTTTGCACTATATCGTGCTTTTCAAAAATTGTGAATATGAATTGCTACCTTCTTTTTATTTCTGCCGATGAGAACAGCGCATTAGTGGAGCGGATGATGGAAAGGACATTCGGGAGAAGGGGTTCTCGCGAGAGCAGAGCCTTCCAGATGCCCTTACTTCGTCCGGAAGTGACTCGAGACACACTGCTTCATTCCATGAAGGGCTTGGAGTCTGGAGGACTGCCCTCCTCGCGACAAGGTAAACGAATACCATCCGTTTACTTATTCCGCTTCATGGGGGAAACGCAGTTGCACTGAATGCGTAGGCACGATCTCTTTCTTCTCTTTCGTGCGTCATTATATACGCCTTGTCTTACTTGAAGAATCTTTGACGTCGTTCCCAGTCATTTGTTATGTAATGATGAACGGTGCGGTTGACAACTGCATCCCTATTACAGGTCTCACCGCGTTCGAAGGGGGATCCGCAAGTAAAGGGACAAACGTGTTTATGGGGTAAATTTGAGAGAGATACGAATGTATTTTGGAGGTGAATGACAATGAATTGACAATGAAATGACAAATGAACACTTGTCATATCGACCAAGAAGAAAAATTGAAGTAATTTATTTTCAGTGGCCCATTAGCGGATCGAACGATTGAAATGGTCTTATCTTCCAATCCTGTCACTCTGAGTACGTTGTCGTTTCGTTGGCGTAAGGATTCATGATGCAGCATTTGCAGTAAAATGATTGAATCGTCGCTCTGGGTGCTGCTTTTTGATCACCGGCAAGGTGCCATGCCGATCTTTATCCAGGTGTTTGGACAACTCCACTTCTCGATCATTGACGTTGCATCCTAGTGAAGGCTTCTAGCCTGCTGCAATCCTTTTTTTTTTAAGGCCAGATATTAGGAGAAGAACCTTTTGTATATGTATCCCCACTAGCTTGTTTCCACTCAGGATTGGACTCCTTGATATTGTTTACACGTGAAATGTCTTGGACAGAGACAGAGTAAGAGACGATATACCCTCCGAGAGATGAGGGATAAAAAACCGGAAGGGTTTTCCATACCGTCGTCTCTAGATTAAACACTCGGCGTCAAGGGTGTTGACTGTTTAAGAATCGGAATTTCCAATCAACAATGCAACGAAATGGAGAATTCTGTTTCTCACGATGGGGATTCAGTCGGTTTATTTCCGATCTTTGAAACCCTCTGGCTGATTGCTCACGTCACTTTTCAGGAATAACAGCAACATTTCCAATACTTTTTCATGTCGGCCGTTCTCGTCAATATCCAGAAAGAATGGAAAGCTATTAACACTCCATTAACTCTGTAACTACCGTTCGGAGTCCAATGGACCCTGATATAAAATGTAAACACTTGTGTAGGCGTGAACTTGAAAAGTCCGATACTCTGTATTTTCATGAAGACATGTGATAGTAAGCAAAGTATAAGGCAACGTATTTTGAAGAGGTTCTTCGGGAATGGAGAGGTGAAACAAAGAGTTAAACAAATGATCATCCTGTTTCAGGTAGTAACAGGGTTAATGTGGGAGTTGTACGTATTTGACTTTTCAGTAGAGGCTGCTTGCAACCGTCAGACACAAGGTGTTTCGATTCCTTGTTGCTCGTAGAATTTGCGGGAAATGAGCTAGTTCGTCTCGACCCGTCCCTGGGTCATTGCTCGCAGCCTATTCGCCTGTGCTTCAGGTACGGAACCGATTTCAAGATTTTTATCGGAAAGGGCCTGAGTGAACCGTGCCTAGAATGGCAATCGAAGAGGTCAAACAGAATTCATATAGTAAAAAAAGCGGAACTTTTTTCAAATTTCGTCTGTTCGACAATGCTTCAGCAATGAATCTCTCGTTGTAAGTACACTTTTTTTCTTGCAAGTAGCACGCTCTCTTCAGAAGTAATATTACATTATTTAGACTACGTTCTGAAGAAGCTGCACAAAGTGAGAAATTAAATTTCGTCCGTTGGTTTCGAAGTCAAGAATCATTTGCTCGTTTTGTGGATATAAAGTGAGTCTCAATTCTTTGGGTATATGGCCAGAGGGCGATTTCAGTTCAACAGTAAAAATAATGAAAAAAAAAGATTGATAAGCATTTCCCTTCCTTTTTGCATCCTCAAGAAGTTTAGCAATGGTGATTTATTGTTTTCGAGCTTTTGTATTTAAGATAGAGAATATATCAATAAATTCGGCATAGATGCAATCTTGCACATATTAATTGACCTGGACGTATCCAAAGCAAAATTTTCTGCCTTCTACTTGGGACAAAATAATGACAGAATAGGATGATTCCTTTATTTGGAGCATGTTATGATGGCATCTACCCATTATTTTCCCATCACATAAGGGCCGGAAACTATTGTCGAAAGTATTGGTCGTAATGAGAGCATGATTGCAAGCGGGGAAGATTACTTGTGATGTAATTTTCCTCTGGACCCCTTCCAGCCCCGAACGGTGAGAGATATCTGAGGCTCTCTTTCGTGGGTCTATCATTCATCTTTTTTCACATTATAAAGTCTCGGTCCAATCACATCATGTAGTGAAATCACGAGGAACAGTGACCCCTAACTATGAGAGCTTCTCGGAAACTTTCAGTTTATAATTAGTCATACCTCTTGATGTCCTAATATTTTGGCCCTGCTGTACACAGCGGAACCGAGTGAATACTAATTCTATGCTGTCAAGATCCGAAAATTTCACCTTGCCTTTACTTTTAGATCGGAGCATTCATTTCTTTGTGGAGAGGAGAAACAGCAGCGACGAAGGCGAGGGGTCAGACTGCAAAGGGGGTGGAGGCGGTGTGGTCCCATCCCGCCTCTGCCGGACCAAGTATAACACCACGGCTCCTCTTTACGGCGTCAGCCTCACTTCCGGGCAAACCGTCACCATCGTCCAAAAATTCCCCGATCTCCTCCAACAAGTCATCTACGAAGTCTGCGAGTGAGTTCTCACAGTTTGCTCCCGAGAGGAATGGAAATCCGAAGAGCGGAACGGCGGTAATGATGTCATGATTGCATACCATCATGCTTCACCGCGCGATGAAGTCATTGTAACTTTCAAGGTCGAGGAATTTTCATACAGGGTGTGGAAAAAAACTGCGTGAGGAAACGATCGGAATTTTGAAGACTTCCTTCTGGATAGAGTGAACTGGCAGCATCGAGTAGGTCTACAAATTAGAAAAAAATCTCGAGTACCTCAAGATCGAAAAAGATTGTATCCCGGCTTCGATGCTCGCTGAACCCTAACTGTTTTCCGCCCTGTATATGACGTTCGGTTCCCCGGAGCAGTCCCAATAATTCCTATTCACGCTGCATTGAGAATTGGGTAAGGAGACCGTGACGTGGGAACGTCTTGGTCCAAAGCTCCTACGGAAAGGCACATTTTTGAACGATCGCGTGACATAAACACGCAGATGGCATGACTGGTTGAATAACGTTTCTGGTGAGGTTTTCTTCCCTCCATTCCCAGGTCGAAAGAATGCGACGTGATCCGCGGAGAATGTGTTCAGACCTACATCCCCTACCTGTTCCTGGTGATCCCGTTGGGCCCGGTGACGCTGACGGGACAAGACTACGTCCTCGTGGAATCCGGCTGCGTCTGCCGCCCCAAATTCTCCTCGAGTCCCGTCCAGGGCGCCGATGGGTTCCTCCAGCAGGAACCCCAACTCCCTCAGAAGGACTCCAACACCATCGACAGACGAAGATGAAAACGTGGGAACGGGCACGTGTGGAACGTGGCCCTTTTGGGCGAATAAAATTCGTTTCGGAACAATGGGATTTTGGAGCCTCCATCGGGAGGACGTGAAGGGTGAATAAATCGTAGTTTTTCAAGCCTGACCTGGTATTTCCAGTCATGCCTCTCTGATCGTCATTCCTCAGCTAACTGTGGATTGGTCGCATCTATTGATTCGGAGTCAATAGTTCGGGGGGAGGGGGGGATGCCGACTCGAGGTTCAAAACCTTTCGGTACAAAACAGTGCGATCTTCACAAGCCAGGAAAAAAGGCTTTTAGGGATAAAAATTGCTTGGGAAGACATAATTAATGCTCATATAGATTAAATTTGCAATTTGTCGAAGCTATTAATTATTGCTTAGGTTATTCATACGGTTGCACAAACGATTCAAAAGCAGACTGAGCCATCCTTCAAAGGCTATTTTTCCCCTGATGCCTCTTTATTAATGTGACTATGCTGCTGTGAGCTTGTATTGACATCACACATTTATGATGTAGTAGTAGTAGTAGGTCCTTTATTTCATCTCATTTGAGATATCAAAATACTAAGGAAAAAAATGCATTAATGATCATAGATGATTCCACTCCTTCTCGATTACCACATTTATGGATATGGTAATCGAGAAGGAGTGGAATCATCATATCCTCTTACCTCACGCTTTTCAGCGTTTCCTTTTTTGCTCTCAGAAAATCAGCTATACCAACTAAATCTTAATGTTATCTACCGGGAAATTATAATTAATAGTCGCAGAAGCAAAATGAGTTCCAGGAATCGTCTTCGTTGATTTAAAAATACCTGTATCCTATCCGTAATGAAGGTTCAGTACAAGGTTATAAACAACACGAAACTCAGAAAAGGTGTCATGTGCGCCAAACTTCAATGAGGGGAAAGCTACACATACGATATCACGAGTCTAGAAGGTCGTTGCTCAAGGTGTGCAAGCGTACATAGGCAATTTCTGTCATAGACGAAGCTTTCTTCACTGTATTTAGGAATGCCTCCTGTTTTAGATGTCCTCCTGAGGAAAGGGCCAAGATTGCCATCATATGATGGCAATCCAGTCGTGTTTAAATGTGAACGTCATAAAGGTACTTTCCTTTCAGATACATTCTAGAATGTGCATGAGGAGGAAATGAGGGACGAGTAAGAATGATTGTTTAGGGATGACACGGTATTCTTTTGAATTACCTGTCTTCCCAGATGATTCTCGAGTCCGAAGTCATGCTTCTTCGCTCTTTATGGTGCGATCCCTCAACATTCTTACTCGCTTTAGTACCGAAGGCTTCTCAATTTTTTTTTCAATTCTGAAAGTTTTCCCCCGCTTTTTTCTCGAGGTTTAGTAACACCGAGTTTGAATGGTGAGATCCTATAAAGAAACGTCTGACTTCATTTGTACTTTATTTATCTGTCCAGATAGTGAAGTGCTGTCAGTGGGATATATGTATCTTTAAAGTGTTGCATATTTTCCCCAACTCTATGCGGTATTTGGTACACCATTTGTGAGAATTACACTAGTGACTTCGCATTTTGTGTACGTGGAACACAAGGAAGGAAATTCACTCAAAGAACATCGTAGAAATGAACATTTTCGTTCCAGAGAGGATTCATCTTGTAAGAATGCAGGGAAAAGCTTACATTTCCAGTGCCAACGATTGGGGCATGAGCGAAATAGAATCCAGACTTTACATCGTTGCATCCCATTTAATGCACATACCCAGCAAACAAGGCTACGTCGGACCAACGTTGTATCAACGTTCCGAACGTTTATTCAATGTTGATTCGACGTTATGTGTTTCAAATTGTTTGCTAGGTATATATGCATATACCTGTGTATGTATACTAGTATATACGTAGTTTTCTCAAGTATAAGTATCCCATATGTAAGTAGTTTTCTTTTGGAGTCGGCACATTTAAGAGAACCTTTAATTTTAACGCTTGAAATCCTCGAATCCACCTCCTTGGCTGGAGTAGAGTTCATTACTTCATAATCATACATCACTTCCCTCAATATGTTCAAGCATCCTGAATTTCAGAAATCGATGCCGCAACAAACATGTGGTCTGTGATGAATCTATTGATTCATTCATTTGTGAAGTCCGTTCGGAAGTTCTTGCAGTATGTCAACAGGCATTTGCTTAATTTAATCTGTATTGCGGACCTTCCTTCACATGGTCAGCACTCCGACGTCCAAGTCCCCCAAGATCCAAGGTAAGCATCCGAATGGCATGCTTACCATGCATCAGCCTGATACATGAAGCTGATAAATACACCCTAATTAGCCTACATCGATGAAACACACTAACAACTTGTTGAAATTGCCTCCAGAGATCTCATCTTGGCATTGCTTCCTGGTTAAACTCTCAACAACGGCCCTATAGTAAAGCGCCTTGAAGGGAAGAAAAAAAGATGGCGCTGCCCTTTATCTCAATTCCTCCGGCATTTGGAAAGTTTTCGCTGAAATGCTTCGTCTCACGAACTTGAAACTCGATTTTTCTGCACACCTTTAGCAACTTCTTTTTCCTCTTTTCACCGGTAAAAACCTTCTAGGTGACCGTTTCGGGCGATTAGTATGACACCCCAGCCGTACTAAAATCGGATTCTTTTGGCAAGTTTTCTCAGCTAATATATACACCCCACTCACTTGTAACTCGAATTGATTTCATGGTGTCCTATTACGAGTTTGTGCACAAAACTTCAAGATAGCTCAACTCCTTGGTCTTTTTTTGGCGATGTGTACAGGCAGATTTTTTGGTCCATAGATCCTTTTCCGCTTCATTGAAGATGGTAGTTTTTGGATTTATGTTTGGGAAAAACTGGTCTACCTACGCATACCATATTTTTAATACAATGGCCGCTGCAATGAATCATGAAGAGCGGAAGAAAATAATATCTTGTAAATAGACCCCTTTTCTTTCAAAATATCCTGTGAATTGGGGTCATGCTGACTTGATGAATGATGCCCAAAATCTCCACTTTGACCATGCCATAGTCCTTCATGGCAAAAGTGAGTCACGATGCTGGTGGAATGCAGGATAACAGTAACAAATGAAGGAAAGAGAGTCAGTGACCCATTTTATAAAAGAGTAATATTTTCAGGCGCGCCGTTTCGTGCCCATGAACAGTGAATGGTCATTGTGGCATGACGAGAACATTATCAAACCCATATCTATTGGATACAAGTAGGAACGAAGAAACAGACGAAACTCTGATCAGTGAATCAAATTTGCTTTATTTCTTGTCTAATGCCTTTAATAGGGCCTTGATAGAAGGAGACAGCACATCGAAGAAAAGGAGCAAGGTCTACCCGTAACAGAACCCAAAATAAGAGGCATTTGTTGATATCACAAATACTTCACACTATGACTAGTGTTGATCTGCAATCACAACATGCACTTCAAATTATGACTAGCATTGATCTGCATTCACAAATAGCACGTTCTTGGAAGACTTCATTGGATGACGAAAATGACGTCCTGAGGCAAGAAGGGCATGGCTGAATCACGGAGAAGAACTGAAACAAACTTGTCATCTGGTGTAGATCACAAGTTCAAAACAGTCTGTGTGCCATTTACAGAGAACGATTTGACATGTTCATTCAAAGTCCATCTTGTAGATAAAATTAAAACAATCAGGGGCATATTAGCTGCATGATCATGCCAATGTAATCACTGAAGAAAGTAAGAGGGAACAAATGGGAATGGTGATCCCATAGTTTTGTAAGTTTGGGAACAGTGTTCCCACTCCTTTTTGGAAAGCTCATGAAACACCGCACCCATATTTCTTGAAGGGAAAAATCATTGCTGAAGTAGGCTTCTGCTATCAATGGCAAACTACTCCATGCATACTTTGATGGTTAAAAAAGAAAACCCTGACTGGAGTTGTAGGAATGGGAGGGGGTGTGGTTCAAACCATCACATCTTTGTTTTCACTTTTCACATACTTCCTCAGGTCAACTTTTATCACTGTGTGAACTTCAAACTTGACTTCAATGTCTTCTCCTTCCATTTCATATTTGCATTTTCATAAGCAAAGTTGTAGTTAACTCTTCTAGTGCCAGAGATGATTAGATCGATGCTATGAATTTCGTTCGAAAGTGCCTGAGTCCAAGAGCTGGCAGTAAAAGGATCAATAAATGTATTTTGCCAGAGCACTAGATTGTGTTTATCCTCTCTCTTTAACCCATATGGGGCCAGCTCTTAGACTAAACATTAAACAAAACTTGCAGCAATCTAATCAACTCTGGCACTAAAGGAGTTAACTGCAACCTTGCATATGGAAATGTAAATATGAAATGGAGGGAGAATATATTAAAGTTTAGTTTCTTAAACATGGAATTCCACTTATGCTGGAATAACTTGGTCAACTGAGAGTAAAAAATCAATAAGCAGCCCAATAAATCATTTAGCAATTTTGCTTAATATTACCTAAATTACTTAACGTTCCACTCAAAGCATAATCACACCTACACTTCATTGATAGCATGACAAAGAGAACTTCGATTTTGACCCAATAGCAAACATCCACTGCTTTACCAATCGCAGTCTCTATACAATGGGAGTGTGATTCCAAATGCATTGGAATGTTATGTACAAGAACTTAATCCAATCATAGCACATTTCCGCTTGGATCCGTGTCACAATCAACTCAATCAAGTCAATATCTGATGTGAAACTGGCATTTAATGAAGACTGCATCACTGTAACATAGTTTTGTGGTCTAAAGAACACACTTCATTGCCAATACTTGTATTACAGCCTTGAAAAAAGGCCTAAATACTCAGAGCATACATCATGACATGATATAAAGCCTGCTACTCAAGGGAATAAATTTTTCTCAGCATTTTCAGGAGATAGAAAAAGGGAACTAAAATTGAAACATTTCATGTGTCTCCTTTCTGTCACCATGTCCAGTGGTATTCAAAATAAAATAGTACAGCATACTACATCATAAGCTTCTAGACCTATTCTGAGGTTCATCACTTAATGAGAATTCTTCTGGAATTCCCAGGTGTGAAGTGTTTTACATAGTTCAAGAACCCATAGAGCCAATAATCATTGCTTCACTGGGTGATATTCAAACTAAATAATCAATGACAATATTCCTGGCTCTGAGCTTGCAAATAGCTCAAGAAGAAAGAAAGAAATGCCCAACTTGGCAATGAAGCCAATACTGATCCCAACACTGTGTAACAACTAGAGGGGGAGGGGATGAATCACAGACTAAGAAAGTATTATGGATGTTCCAGGATATCCTTTTGGATTGAGGATGTCATCACGACTCTGGATGAGCCGCAGCTCCAGCTCCTTCTTTGTTGGTTCTCGTCCTTCCCCAGCCAACTCTAAATGCAAAAAAAAAAAAAAACGTAGAGGTTTCATTATAGCTATGACTTGATGGAATTAGTGAAAAATTCATGAAATTCAAGTCTTATAATAGCATCCTTTCCTACTAGAAAATAAATTATCAAGCTGAAATCAATCACTTAAGTTCATTAACCATGTTCCTAAATAATCCCTCCATATACAGGGTGATCAAAAAGTCAATTTGCAGTAGAATTAATTTACTTTGCGGCATTAATTTAGTACCATTCTGCATGTCACACATATCATATAATCAAAGACAGAAATTCACAACCAATACTTCATCAAATATTAGCACCATCCATGATGCACGTCATTTATCATCTGTACATCCCATCTACAATGAGGTTTCCTACATCATATCATGAACTCTACTGCACAGTGACTTCTTGATCACCCTGTATAAAAGGAAGAAATTTAGCATTTGCAAGAGGACAGGAGACTACAAGCACCCAATAGAATACTGTTGAAGAAATGCACCTGCAGCAAAATTCTCAGGCCTATTTCTCAGCTGTAAAAACTTTTAAGTGCATTTCTCATGGGATTCAAAAGTAGGAAATCAACCTTAACCCATTTTTATATTCCAGGAGAATCCATTTCCTGAAACAGATGACCATTCATTTAAAAAGATAGCTAAAAAATTCTAGAGGTAACTATAGGAGAAACGTTCTTCTTTCGTATGGGTATAGCGAATATTAGAAATTGATGTTAATCTTCGAAATCCAGTCAAGAGTTTTTAGTGATGCTGCATGTATATCCTTGATGCTGCCAGTAAATGAGTACAATGGACACTCATCGATGATGTGCTCCATAGTTTGGAAAGGAGTGCCGCATTCACACGTTGGCGATTGTTTAATACGCCACTTGTGCATCAGGTGTCCAGATGTGATTTAAGGTCACCCATTCGTAGCGTGGGAGTGTGACACCTGGTACCTCAGCTGATGGATCGTCGATGAGGTTCTTATTTTTCACGTCCATGTGAGACTAGGCTTCTTGCCAGTGTTTTTCCGTGCACGACCCCAGGTCGTGCAGGATTCTCGCAGCAGTCCAGAAAGGACGTCTTGATTTTAGGCAGGACAGGATGGAGAAGGAGAAACATTGATTTCTGGGTAATACATAATGAATGTCTAATGAGTAATTGACTCAAGTTTCTAGACAGGAAAACACAGAGTTCTACATACATTCAGATATACTTGCAGCCTTCCATCCTGCTCACAAGTGAAGGGCAGAAACAAACTCAACATGTAAGTTATGAAATTACTTGAAGTAGGGGAATTCTTTCTAGTAAAAACAGAATTATACATCTCTCTAACTTGGAGGAGAAGCAAAGGTGACCCCAACTATTCTCTACATCCTCTTTCTTTTGTGCGAGATCAAATGTTTCACCAGATTATGTTACTTCTGTGTAGGAGAGAAAGAACATATCTACTTTCATACTTGCATTCCTATCCTACTTCTCATTCTTAGTTGTAATCTTACCCAGATACATCCCCAATGAGGAAAACAATAAAAAAAATTAGATCAATTTAATTTTTTCAGCTGGTATATGTCTGAGAGTGTTTCACTGCAAAGTTAACACTTTTTTTTCAAAAAGTAAGTCATTATTGCAGTAAAGTGAAACTGATGTACAAAGATTTGCAAGCTCAAAATGACAATGAAGTAGCTAAGAAGATATCAGTGTGAGGACAATTCATAAAAATTTGGTCACTTTTTCAAAGCAATTGGGATGAATTAGCCTGTTCTACCAATCTACAAAGTAAGTGGTACCTGTACATAACAACTAACTCTTCAAGAAACAGGATTTCCATCTCTAGTTTCCACTCTCTTCTACAGGGTGGTGCACAATAATGTTTCACATTTCATTAACCTGTATTTTCATAATTTATTAATGTAGAAATTTCAATCACATGTCATCTGACAGACAGACTCAAAAAGTTTTTATGTTGAAAAACATGTTTGAAGTGTTCACTGTTCCTTTGGATTATCTGTATGTAACGTCTAGCAGTGCTTTAAATAACCCTGTTCATTGCTGTTTTTTGTGTTATGCCTCTTAGCACTGTAACCACAGAATGTTTGAGTTCATCAATGGTGAGAGGATTTGTGGAGAGCACCTTTTCTTCAAGGAAACCCCATTTAAAATAAAAGGTGGTCTAAGATCAGGAGATGTTGCTGGCCATGAGATGTCGCTTCTCATTCTCATAACACTTTCTCTTCAAACTTATCAACGATCTTAATTTTTGGAATTGATGGAGTTGTTTTATCTGAAAAAAAAACAGAGCTAAGGATGTTCATCTTGTATAAATTTATTGAAATGCATTCACCTATTACTGTGAAGAGAGAATGTAGACAAAGGTATCCTGATAAAACATCAAACCCAACTATTAACCCTTTGGTGTCTGGGGAGGTGGCACTTAACCATCCCTGCAGGCAGCTAAATCCCGAGTAGCCTTCTCCTTCACAGAGCTGGTCGGAGCAGCAATCTGCTCATTAGAACTATATTGCAGCGCACTAAATTCACTATCACTGTCTAACATCTCTAATTTTTTCAACTGACAAAGTCACTTTTCGACACTTTGAAGCCATACTGGAAGGGCCCAAGTTCGCAGAATCATGTGCTTGCTTAGACATCTTTATAATAACTGAACTGTGCCTCTGAGAAAGGTACCCTTTAGGCAGGGGAATGCAAGAGGTGCCAGAAACCTCAGATAAAATTTCAGGGAAATCCCTTATACACAACAGATTTAATCAAACTAATCCAACTCAGCCAACCGTGCTAACATAGGCTGACAAGTATATGTGGCAACTGATGCTTAAGGATTAAGAATGTCGTCGATAAGTTGGAAGAGAAAGTGTTGCCAGTATGAGAGAAGGCATCCTGTGGCTAGCATCATCTCTAGACTAGCACATTAAAAAAAAAAGGGGTTTCCTTAAAGATAAGGAGTTCTCCACAAATCCACACATCATTGATGAACTCAAGCATTCTGTGGTTACAGGGCTGAGGCATAACATGAGAGACATTCAACAAAGTTATTGAAAACACTGCTGTATGTTGCAGACAGATTATCCTAAGGAATGGTAAAGACTTTGAACATGCTTATCAATGTAAAAAAATTTTTGCATTTGTCTATCAATGACATATAATTTAATTTTCTACCTTAATAAATAAAGAAAATATAGTTCTATGAAATGTGAAACATTTTTGTGTGCCACCCTATATAAATGTTAAGGACAGAGCTGACAAGAAGAAGCCTACTCTTGGCATATGAGAGGGTTCTCTTGAGGATCTCCTGCATGCATCCCACAGTCAATTCCAATGCCAGCTTGAAGTCTCCTTTGGATGAATAGAAGGCAAGGAAGATTGCTGCAAAGGTATCCCCAGTCCCCGTGAATGAAGACTCCAAACAGGGGAAAGCTATCTCAATTTGCTCTTTCTTCTCCCCTGCCATGGAACAGGACACTTAGCCATTCAGGAGGGCATATCACACAATTTCCTTAAGCTGTCTAAGCTGAAACTATCCATGGGTGCACATTGAAAGTATAGAGTATCCATTTAAATCTGGGGTTGACAGATTTCTGCATCACAAGCAAATGACATTGATGAGGGAGAAGTCCAATCAACTTCAGTGGGCTCTAGATTTTGCTGGTCATTCTCATTCAGTAGACTTCCATTCCTCCCTCTCTCTTGTCCATCAACAGCTTCCCCCTTTGACCTGAGTGCCTCTTGACACTTCATTGATCTTTTCTACTTGTCTCTTCCAACTCCAGATTTGAACAGATAAACTACACCAAAGTTACCAATGGCATGGTGAGCAAAAAATAAAATAAAAATAAAATCACAATTAGGTGCATTTACTGTCCATAGCATTCTGGGGAAGCAATATTCAATTCAATCTTGACTTGAGGTACTTTCTGTTGTAGTAATGACCAGGAAGCATCAAGTTGTGAGAAAAGTACACAGAATTTCAGAGATTGGGAAGCAAAGCAAACAGGGAATACAGATAATGCCTCTAGATTTTTATAGAGGAGTTGTCCATACACTACACCAAAAAGAGTGACTGTCTATTGACAACCTTTCCAATTGTCATATCTGAAGAAACCTGAATTAAAATTTTTTTATCTGGAGAATTTTGTGTGAATATATGTAAACTTCAGAGTGGAGTCACACTCTTTCTACTTCCACTATTTTGCAACTAAGAATGAAATTTTCAAACCCTTGTTTAAAAACCCCAAGGAATGAGGTGCATCTACACTTCTTGAGAGTTTCAGCCAGTGATTTCTCAGGTATGCATTATTAGGTTCTCCTTTGGAGAAATATGAGAATCAAGAAATTCCTTAGAAGATCCACTTCTTCCAAGACTTGTTCAGGAACAAGGATGTTGAATTTGAATTTTGTGCAACTCTCAATGGAATATATGCTGAAGCACTATCCAAGTTTTCTAAAACCCATACAAGGGTCAGAGAAATTGATTGTTAGTAATTGCCCATTGAGAGTCACTTTATGGACACCCAGTGTTGACTGTAGAGCAATCAGGTAGAAAATTTTTTTGGACAGCTGGATACAAGAAAGCAACATATAGGGTAACATGGGAAAAGATCAGTACCTCAAGAGGCTTTCCTGTCATTTTTCTAAACTTTCAATAATAAGGTTTACTTTTGCACTTAAAAGATACAATTCAAGCTTGGGACAACAAGCCTCTAATGCCTCTCTATCCCTATCCTATTCTTGCCTGTCAGTCTTTCCCAGTGTCTTTCTTCCTAAAGTATACTTCAAGTACTTTTTCTTACTCAGGCACTATAAAGTCATCACCATCTGCATTGTACAGATGAGCATGTGAGCAACAATTTACCATAATCCCATCCATGTTTTTGTGGAAGGAGGCCAATGGCCTCCTTCCACAAAAACATGGATGGGATATCATCCAAGTATTTTTCACAAGCATAGATACTCTTGGTTATCTTAGCTATCACTACTTTGTACCAAGTCCACCATTGGATATTACATAGTTCCTGATAAGTGTTAACTTTATTTTTTAACATAATGAGAGTTGAACTGCCAATCTCTTTGGGCTTGAACATAACACTCTTGACACTCATGACCCTCCAACATTCTTTTTTCATCTGCCCAATTACAGGACTTTATTTAAGTCATACCATTTTTTTGACTTGCAAGAAGCAAGAGAGTGTCAGGGGAGAGGAGATCTGTTGATGATATGATGACTATGGACACTCCCTTTTCATGGAAGAAATCCAGGACACGAATGGCATCTGCTCTTGTTGTGATTGTGATACCTGAGAGCAACCTTTGAGGAATGGAAACCATCAAATCAAATGCACATGCTCCTGAAGACTTTATAAAGAGTAATGAAGAGTTCCTTAGGAGAACTGACCTTTTATCTATAAAGAGAATCTCAACAAAATATCATAAAGTGAGTTGATATGCTCCTCAGGTCTTGAGAAACCAACTCCATTTTATAGGATCTACTTTCATGTCACTCATTTTCAGCTATGAATAATTTCTACTCATGTTCTTCTGGGTAAAAACCAGTTAGAAAGAACTCACTCAGCTTCATATTGATTTGGAGTGACAATGGTGGCAAGGGGGATGACTTCTTCTATGTAGATGGGTAAGAGGGACTCTGGTACATACAGTTGACCATTATCTCCCAAGACTGGATCACAGAGGTACACAAGGTCTGGGTTTAACTTCCTCAGCTCTCCAACAACAGACACAATGCGGCGGAGAAAGCGTGGACACCCAACATAACCTGTGAGGAGGTGGGTATAGTTTGCCACCCCATTTGCCATCAGTCCCTGGATCAATTCACCTGTGAATTTCACCACCAGAAAAAGACATACATGTTAGGAATAGGCTTGCACACTCCATCAGAAATTGTAGGAATTGCCATAATAAAGTGTGGAACAGTTGATAATTTCATACACCCAATGCTGAAAGCATCTAGAACTGTCTAGACAAGACCTTGCGTGATGATGATTCTGAATCATTGGGTATATGTTATCAAGAGAAGTTGGTGAGACAATGAACAAAAAATCAATACACATATACACATTTTGCATGCAATGATTATTTCCCAAATAACTCCTATAACATTGATGCCAGAAACCAGAAATTTCACATGGCATTCAGAAATGATAAATCTGGAATGTGTTGGGACTAGTTTTGATTATTTAAATTTCTTTAAAATGACAAGTAGGGAGCTAAGAGGCAACTGCCATCAATTTTTTTAATAACATGACAGATATGGTTCATTTTGCATGGAAAAAGTGAAAAAATTCACTATTTTGCTTCTAATAATCTGTAGCTGTATGTTTTATCATGGATTCCTATGAATTTGAATAAATTTGGTTGATTTTTTTTACCTTTGTTTGGGAATTGCCAGATGTACTAACATTTTAGGTTTTTCAAAAATATCTCAGGAACTGCAGCAGCTTCATGCAAAAATTATGTTGCAAAAAGATCATGGGAATGCAAACTTTTCAATGGTACCAACTATTTTTACTTTCTGTAAAGCATCTCAAATTCATTTTTCACTCGTATTCTCCCCTTAAGGTAAGCTGTGAAGAAAGACCTCCCAGCATACAATGTTATTATGCTGCATCTCAAAATGATTCAGTTCAACAAGTTGAGTTGGTTGATGGGTGATAAATATGAAAGTTCAGTGGAGATGAATGCATGACTCATTGTCTACTCACTCTAAAAGATGTGACCCTGTACTTCAAGGCCTACCTACATGCAATTGAAGGAAAGCTAAGCCACTCAAATTCAAAGACACTCTTGAAAAACTGTCTATAGTGAGATTTGCTCATGTGATAAGCAAAGGCACATGAACACACATATATGCAACCCATGCAACAATCTTTGTGGTGGCAGACAAAACATGACAAAGCCCCCTGGGAAAAGAAACTATATATTCCTTAAAAACATAAATCAATGGCACTCCTATCCATACATGCAATGCATCATGCTGTGGCCTTTTATGGCTTACATACCTAGCTCCATGTCAGAGAGGACCCTTCCCTTGACAAGGCCATAGCCAGTGTGATTGGAGAAGTCAACCGAGTTTATCACATCCACCTCCAGTCCCAGAGTCTATGGAAGCAAAACTTCCTTTTATGTAATCATGAGACAACTAGCTAAGAAATACCTTCCCAAATTATATCTACTTTCAGACTGAAAAATGACTCAGAGCTCAGATGGACCTCTATTGAAATGGGATGAACATAATTGAAAATAAATTTCCATAATAACCAAATAAAACCAAATAAATGTTTGAAGGGAGGCAGTTATTTTTCCACTCAAATTCTAAAGCAAACATAAGAAACTTGACCTGTCATGCTGATTCAAGGATAGGATTAACAAAACAGCATTCTTGCCCACAGGGAAGAATGGCCAAAAACTTTCATCAGCAATACCACCAATCAGAATATTTACCCATTTCAATTCTATGACAAAGAGAGAGAAACTAAAATCCTCATATGGCTTAATTTTGTTGAGCAGGTAAAGCAGGGGTTCTCAAACTGGAGAGCATGAGAGGGCCCCAGGGGGGGTGCAACAAGTTATTGGAGTTATTTTTCATCTACTATAATGTGCAATTTCAAAACTACAAAATATTTGATTCATCTATCCATTTTCTTTTTACTGGAAAAAAGGTCACATTCCTTCAGGTCTTCTGGCTCTTTCTCCAATAGTACAAGATTAAATTAAAGCAGTTCAAGGGAGCAGAGTTTTAAATTTGATTCTTTTTTCAAGGTGTACATATCGCTTGGTGATTTCCTACAATTTGAATGAAGATAACAAATGAATTAGCAGTCTCTTTGGGCTGTAACTTGAATGCTTGATGAATGTAGAGTCCATGCACTCATTCTGTCAAAACAAATACTAGGCAAAATTTCTGAAGACATTTCTATGTCAGGTTTTTGAAAATGGGATTTGCACCATTATTATCACCGTCCAGTCCAGATTATATCATTTTTGGGCCCAGAAGCATGTGAGCGTCATTCTCATTAAATTAAGTGAATGATAATCTGTTTCTAGCTGTGACCTGGTTCTTGAAATGTTGCAATAAGCTTCCTATTTTTTCAATCATCCCATGAAAAAAGAATCTGTGGGATAAGTTTAATTTCTAGGTACTCCTCTTAGGGAGAAAGGGGGTGCAACACCAAACCAGGGTCACTAGGGGAGTTGCAGAGTAAAAAGTTTGACAACCACTGAGCTAAAGGATGATATATCACAGTTAGTCAATTGTACCAATTAACCCACTCAAGCTGTGCATGCAAATCCTAGAATCCATTCCTGAAATGGCATTACTCTTTGATGTACCTACAAAATGTAGGCCAATTCTAATGTGATGCTGTGATTTAACATGTGAAGCAGAATCTGGGCATTTAGCAAATTTTGTTCATCAAAATTTTTCAGAAATTATGGCAACATGGAGTGACAGATACAAGGACTTGGGACAGCACTGCCAGAATTCTTGAGTGCACAGAGTGCTGCTGTCATCAAAACAGAATGATGTTTGACATAGGTGAGAATAGAATGAATACAATATCGGGTTGCAGAGTTAATTGCAGGGTGTATTTCTGCATACTTTTGGCACTGCAAATGTGTAAGGAATTTACTTGGAAATGAAATGCCCACTGTAAAGTGTCTGAACATAGCTGGCTCATGCTATCTTGGAAGCTATGAACATTAAGAGACAAAGGTGGAGGGCAATGATGACAGGGATGAAAGTGAGGAGGGAAAGCCAACTGATAAGCCAGGTGGGTCTTAGCATTTGAAGACAAAGAACGACCAGAATTTAGGCAAGAATAACAGAAATGGGGGAACATTGATATGAACAAGGCCATGCTCTAAAGTTGATAATGGTACTTCACTGCCAAGTTGTGTGCATGACTCAAGGTCAGACATCTTTTTACCAGCTTGCAGTGCAAATAGATATATGCTGCCATCATAGTTTTCTTCTTGTTGAATTGTTAGGTTACAAGGTTCCAGAAAAAGTATTTATTCCAATTGTCAATGCATATAAAAACAATTATGACCAATACCTGCAATAGAAAAACTGAAGCTGTGAAGTGAATGGAAAAGCAAAATGGAATGACTTGTAAAGAAGAATCTGACTGGAATTAATATTTTATTTACTCCTGGGTTGTATTAACTAAACATTGCTGATGTATAGCAAGTACTATGGATGCTACTCACAGAAGACTGAAGCTGACATGACAAGACAGAAGCTGCCAAGTTTTTCACTAGGTTAAAGCCTCAAAATGATTTGAAACATCTAGTAATAGAATATAACAGAAACAGAGATGGATTAGAAGTGAAAGAGTAACTTCAATTTAATTAGTTATCAAAAGCTTACCAATAACTTACCCAGCAAACCCAACATTGGTCTCCACTTGCTGAATAAACATTTCTATTTGGATGTCAGTCACATGCAACAGATCTCATGTTTAGAAGTTGATATTTTTGCTGTACATTAGCAGATAGTTACAAAAGTGTACAGAAAGTGAAACTAATAGGGTGGAGCCCAGGAGTTTGTGGAAGACAAACCTGCAATGGGAAGACAGCACAGCGATTCCCTACATATCCATGGACCACATGGCTTTGAATGGACAAAACTCTCATGTCTTCCATTGATGTCATATTGTACCTATGGAAGATCCTCTATCAGAATATATGAGGACAGTTTGCTAACAAATGCAGTACATTCATTGCAGGGTATACTGTGTGAATACCCTTGAGTGTCTCCTCCTGGAGAACCTAGGGTCACATTCTGCATGTCAATTACAAACAATTTACTTTGAAATCATGAAAATGTAACTTTTCTGCAATTCTATCCAAAATCTTTCTAATTAAAGTTTTTGGAGCTTTATCAGCTCTCCAAAAGCTTTATAAAGAAAGTTTTGGAGAGCAGATAAAGCAGTGCTATAAGTTAAGGGGTTAATTTAGGAATCAAAGACCCAAACCAAGAGTGCTGAAACTTTTTGAACTCATGGGTCATATGAAGAGACTTTCTTTCTGGAAGCCATTGATCTAAAACTTCACATAAACTATAAATGAATAATACAGGCAAGCAGCCAAATAAAATTTATTGACCTCGCTTAAATTGGAGACTAGGAAAACTGAAGTTGGAATTTACATCATATGACTTGTGGAATATCTTGCTGTGGGGGCTAGATCGTGTCCAAGTTATAGTTTGAGCACTCCTGACCTATATGGCCATAGTGCATTTAATTATTGCAGCTGTGTTTTCCTGGAAACTGAAATGTATTCAATTCCATACAGGACTGAGAAATGTGGAACATTTTCATGTTTTTACCTCATAATAAAAACTTCCTCTAGATTCCACTTGCCTCTTTCATACCAAAGTATTTGGCAAGAGAGAGGATGAAAAGAAAATATTCTTGGACTTTGTGCAATAACAAACTCCAGCACAGTACCATATGGACAACTCTTTATAATTCCTTGAATACCCTACTTGAGTCACATCTGAAATGCTGACACTAGGATATGAAGAGGGAAGGGAAAATAGAAGAAAAATCAAACAGATGCACTAATAAGATCGAAGTACTTCTTGATCTTGGACGACATGCTCATGTCAACATATTTGTCCCCAACTGCGATGATCATTCCTCCAATGATTGAAGGGTCCACCTTCGTATGAAGGAGGAGCTTTTGACCACTCTTGAGGAAACCCTTCAGTGCTTCATGGAGCTCCTGTTCCATTGCTTTATCCAGTGGCTGATGAGAAGAGAGAATAGAAAAGACTAGCAATCAAGTCTCTTTTTTTACTAATAATCTTGAACAATGCATCTATATGATGGGAGCACACATGGTGAAAATAGTGCTACATTTGATTGAGACTTTCCTGGTTGAATTGTATAGTTTAATCATACAAAACTGTCCTTTGGCATGACTAATGTAAACAATATACAGGAAAACTTTTAAGGCATCTATCAGAATGATTTACATTATAATTTTAATCCTTGCTTTGAAATAGTGTTGACACAATCACATCACAGGTAAACTAACTTTGAGACCTGACTTTCTTTTACAGCTCCCAACAGAGAGAGAACATGTCACATGCTTCAAGTAATGTTTCTCATGTTCTGCCAGTGAGTTTGGAAATGCCTTCTGACTTATGGACAAAAACAACATGCCAAGAGATATAGAGCATCAACATTGGTTATGTCCTAGGAGAAATTTCATTTAAGGATTTAATTTCACACAATCTAACACTTTAATTAAAAGAGGCTGAAAGTTGTGGTGGCTGTCACCCCTAACATGCAAGGCCTACAATGCTATGCCATCCATGGCCTAAAGCGCCAAGACTACAAGGCTCTACCATTCTGAGTCATAGGCTAGGTCATCTAATACTTTGATATATTTGTGAGGCGTGGTCTTGATAAAATTAGCTGGGCAGCAACACTTTCAAACTTATACTATACAGAAGCAGTAGTTAACAATGAAATGACAGGGAATAAGTCCATAACTCTTTCTAATCTTGTTCCTCTCTCATATGGCCAAGAGGAAATTTAATTTCTAATAGGCCATTTAATTAATGAATTCAAATGAAAGATTAGCAAAGTCTGAAGTGCTTGCAGGCACATAGTGCTTACAGTTTTAGTACTGAGAAAAAATACATGCACACGTGCATGCATAAAATAGATAAACATATCAATGATTGAATGTGGATTTTCATTTCTTTAAAACAATGAAGGTTCAATGAAAGATATGGGGGGTTAAAGAATAGGAAGGGAGTAGGAGGAAAATATAGAGGATCACAAAAAATTTCCTCTCAAGTTATGAAAACTAGACATATAAACTTGCATTAATCATTTTCCAAAAGAATTTTAAAAAATCTGGATACAAAGTAACAAATAAGTAAAAGTAGGCTTGACCTACCTTGGCAGTGGTGACTTCACACTGAACTTCACCTCGATGAGCAGACATAATAGTCTTGAAGGCATTGATCATTGATTCCACCCTATTCATCCTCCCATTGTCTGCAATTGCATCTAGGATGTAAGATAAATTTTTCAATGTCAAATTTCAATAAATTTTATGTTTCTTTATTAGGCATTCTCGATAGTAGAGAATAAGATTCATAGGGGGTCACTGAAGGGTGGACTGGAACAAGAATATTCTGAGATGAAAGTAACACTATACAACTGATAAATGTGGACTCACTAAAAAAATTGGATGAAATTGAAGAAGTATTCTGCTTTTTGAAGACACTGAGAAGAGCCTCTTTCTTGATGTTCCTCTTGAGAGTGGGGTTAAGTAGAAATTCCTTCAACTTCTGATCTTTTTTCAGCAAGCCCTAAAATAAATGTAAATTCTCAGTTGATTTATGCTTTCCAGTTCAACAATAAACATTGATTCCAAACTGCAGATGAATCAGATGTGGTGCTACATAATATAGTCATATGCTAATGAAATAAAGCTTGAGGGTGGGTCCATAATCCATGTCAAAGACTTCAGATTTTAATCAAATTTGGGAGAATCACCTGTTCCATTGAGCAACAGAAACATAGACTTTATTTTATTTTTTGGTCTTCAGCATATGAGGTAATAGTTACCTGGCTGGAACCTTCTACCTTTTTGAGACTTCTGTCCTAATTAAGCTGAAGAGTTGATTTATGAATCATGCAAAAGCTCTACAGTGCCCTGCCAGAATAATTTGAGCAGCATGAAATTAAAAAAATGCTTTATTGCATATTTATTGATTACAAAAACAAAATAGTAATATAAACACTAGTATTTTGTAGCACCACCTATTGCATCATACAGTGCTCCAACTCTTGCCTGCATGGAATCGGAAATGATATTTTGTATGATGGACTGTTCCAGACCTTGCCATATTTGTTGCAATTTTTCTTTCAATTTTCATTTATTAGCAGGTGGAAATAGACTTTTTCTTAATTGTCATCCTAGATGTTCTCAAAGGTGTTCTATTGGGTTGATGTCAGGAGTTTCGGCAGTCCATGGAAGAAGCTTCAGCTTACTTTCTCTCCAGATGGCAATTTCAAAGTGTGACATGAAACATCATCTTCCTGTCGCAGGTTTTTCTCATTTTCTAGAACTCCCAGTTGAAATAATGGTAGCAGGTGATTTTGCAATATAGATATGTACCCAGTTGAATTCAATATCCTTCAATGAAAATTAGGCCAGGCTTTCCACTGTAACAAATTGCACCTCAAACCATGACACTGCAGCTGCCCTATTTTCTGGTTGCTTGTAAACAATCAGCCTTCAGCTCATCACCAGCTTTTCTCCAGGCCCAGGTATGCCTACTGGAGCTAAATTGTTGGAACCTGGATTTGTCAGTAAACACAATTTTCCTCTAAAAGTCAATTGGCTTGTTGATTATTTGTCTGCCAAGCCATTCTCCTGTTGTAGCCCAATTTGTGCAGAACATGTTGAGTTGTTCCTTGACATGTGGAGGCATGTTTGCCATTTGTGTTATGCTGGACAAGACTTTGTTTCAGATTGGAGTGGATGAGGTGAACAAGTGCCCTTGGAGTGAGATTTTTTGTGGTTGATGGTCAAAATCAGGCAATGATATGCATGCATTTAGTTCCATTTCACAACAATGAGCAATTATACACAGACCCATATGACAAACCAAGTCTATGCCTGTCTCCCCTCAGGATCAGCACACCACCGTCTGGTGGAGGTGTCAAAGGGGAAGTCACCTTCTCCCCTCAGTGGAGGGCAGATGACATATAACCCTTTCTGGTCCATTTTATTTGTGATGGTAAGAAGATTGTCAGACTATGTCTGCCAGTGGACCACAAAGGGTTAATGATTCCTATGAGGATTAAAGAAATGACAAGGTTGGACTGGATAGACTGGATAAACAGGTATAGTTAACAGACTATACCTGTTAACAGATTAACAGTAGAAATATCCCATTATTTTCTACCCTTTTCTTAGAAATTGATTGCTCAAATTATTCTGGCAAAGCACTTTATTTCTGTAATTTCCAATGATACTACAGTGATTGGGGTAACTCATAATTCAATACATTCCATGATATTGTTGGCTACAAAGAAACCATGTGTTCTGCACATACATCTTACTGGCAGCATTCAATATTTGCAAAGAATTACATAAAGGGAGTCTCATAATTACGTTTGCAGTTTCTCAGGTTCTCAGTTCTGAATATATCTAGTGCAAATCAATGTAATTTGAAGGGCAGTTAGAGGAAACAAGAATGTTTTTCAAGGCCATTTCTTTCTAGGAACTATTGACAAGGTTGTCAACAGTTTTATAACTTGCAGAGAGCTTAAACAACAGCAAATAAAATTGCAACAGATAGCAACCTGCACCAAAAATGCAAGCACACAGAAGAAAACTGAAGACAGGCCTATTTCAAGTTGATAGGGTACCTCCTTCATCTTTTAAAGTCCCCATTGCTATTTTCATTTTCACCATTTTGAAAGAAAAAAAATTAAGTCCCACTATAATTTGACTGCCACTCAAATTTCAATTACTACATAAATTTTGGAATTGGATCGGAAAAAAAAAGCTGTTGGCAGCTTACAGGCGGTGAGGACTCAACGTGACTAGTGGAAATCTATTCAAAGGTCTCCCTTCAGAGAACAATACGACCAAATCATAGAGGTTGCCATTCTGTCGATATTGGCCTAGGCCTACCTGAAATTCGAGGAGCTCCTTCTCAACGGCTTCCAGTTTCTTCTCTTTGACGGATGCCGAATAGAGTGCTGTGGCATATCGTCCCTCTAAGCCAAATAACTGGATAGGGGGTTTGATCATCTGGAGATGACCAGCGGAGGAGGAGAAACTCCTCACCTACCACATGCCGAAGAAAAATAAAAACCTCATTTCTGAGTCCATCCCATCTCAGACCAATTCGTCATCAGGTAAGGCGAACAAACACCCCGAGAACTCACCAGCCTAGGAGCGATTGCCGCCATGACACAGACCTGCAGAAAGCTTGAAGGAGGCAGACATCTATGAGTTGGTATTGAGGTGTTGCCTTCAGTGGGTGTTGCCGCATCTTTGCAGGCATGTCATTTCGGGGAGGCAGGACGACAAACATTCATCCTACCCATAGCCCTTCGCATAGGCGGCGATTTGTTGAGAAATATGGGTGGAGGGCTCAGAGACAGTCTCTTGCAAGTATTCCTTACTATCATGTCTCTCGCTGTCTTCGCTCCAAACCTCTTCTAATTTTTTGGGGGGTTCTCGAGCCCTCTGAGTCCCTATGAATCGCCGCCTATGGCCCTTCGCCTACCTCCGAGCCTGCTGTCCCTTTTTTTGCAGTTAAGGAAATGTCACTGAATTATTATTTTTTGCCTTCAATCGAGATACCTAATGTGTCTCCTTCGACGTTATAGAACAGTGGTTCTCAATCGATGGGCCGCAGGTAAGCTGTGACAAGTATCCGTAAGTTTAAATTAACAATTAGCAGTTAGACAAAAAAAACGTTTAATATAGTTTTTAAACTTATAGTGGACCTCATATCACTTTGCAGTGATTAAGGTGGGCCGCAGGATCGAAAATGTTGAGAACCACTGTCATAGAAGACGGAAAAGGAAGATAGACTATTTACTTTATTTTGATTCTTTTTTTATTGAAGAAATTCTTTCAATTTATATCTTAAAATTTATTTTATGAATGCGAAATGCTGTCTGTAAAGTCATTTTGAGCAAGACCTTCGTGTGAAAAAAAAATCAGGAAAAAATGTTCGAGATGGCAATTCATCGAGTGAATTGGCCTTATAAATTAATTGGATTGAAATTCTGAGGTTTGACATGATGAAAATGTCCGTAGAACTTCTCAATCCACGAGAATTCCCCGGGTGACCCTCCATGTCTTCAGGCTATCACCGCACGAAACCTGAGCAACCATATGGGTGTACCGCTTTCTTCGTTCAGAGGAACTGAAAAAGATCTGCCAGGAAGGCATTCCCCATGATGGACAAGTCATCCCAATCATTCCCAATCGGTAGTAATGCAATTCCTGTAAGGGTGTCATTTCACAACCGGGACCGATTCCATGTGAAACATACTTACCTGGTGCGAGGCAAACATTCTAAGGTCACCCTTAGAATATGCAGAGCTGAACAAAAATAAAAGTGATCGAGTATTTCATTACAAACTACAAAATGCCCAAGAATATTATTTCAAATACAAAATATTTATATAAAATACAGTTGACAACTCAAAATGCAAAAAGGTGCAGGTTTACATCATGCCATTCAGATTTTGGCAAAAATAAGGAACCCTTTTGGAAGTTCAAATCATTGATTTCCAACAGGATTGACTGAATATGGCATTCATTCCGATTTCCTTTCCGAATCCCAGACACCCCCCCCCCCCCCCCCCCCCCCCCACCCCCCCCCCACCCCCCCCCCCCCCCCCCCCCCCCCCCCCCCCCCCCCCTATAAACCGTTCATAATCCTAACGGGATCTGGATGCACTCTCTGAATGCAAAGAACAGAAATATTAGCAAGAAATATTAGGCCTTCACAAGGCCTTCGCATAAAGATGGCCAATATATCACAAATCAAATACCTTGCTTGGGCCAAGGGTAGGCTACGTTAGCATATTCACATCAAGATATTGAAAGGCAATCGACCTTCACATGCGTGAAGAAGTTGGATGTTGCAGTGAGAGTTCCACTAATTACTTTCTCCGTAGGACGTGCAGCACATTCGACCTTGACCTTCTGACCCTCTCGTTTAACATTACTAAGGAACTTCCCATTCAATAATAGTCTTCTAGTAGTAATAATAATAGGAAAGTCTTCTGAGTTAGCCATGTTTGGAGTTGCACTGAGCCAATTAAAAAGTATTTGTTTTTCATTTAATGTAAATGTTATTTAATATATTTTAAAATACACTTTATGCAGAGAACTGTATTTCAAATATAAAATACAAATGTATCTTGTGATACATACTTAAATACAAAATACCTCAAATGTATTGAAAAGGGTATTTTAAATGCAACTATTTAATATACTGCCCACCTCTGAGAATATGCACATCCTACGTTTTCGGTGTGCATGTTCATCCTCTCAAGAAGGATCATATCCACCCTAAAGGTGTTCGTACTCAGTCATTTCGGGCATTTCTCCTCCGGGCAAAAGTATTTTTCCCTTGAAGAAATACGAGCAGATATCAAGTTCCAGTTGCTAAATGGAATGTCGCGAACATAAATTAATGGAAATTTCAAAGGTTTGGGAGAGTATGTTCATAGTTGGAATGCTCTTTGCAGTCATTCTAAGCGAAGCATGTTGTTGCAAACCTTCCTTGAAATTTTTTTTGACAGTGACGCCTCTGGTACCATACCTTACAAACGGCTCGAATTGCCCGCAGGCTCTTTCATGGTCTGGATATCCATAGCACTTTCATTGATCCGTTTGGGAATTCAACACCAGTCGGTACCCAAAAAAGGTGAATGTTTGAATACGTAGAATTGAATCGCACTCTCACTCAAATGTCGTACTTCCTGCATGTGCCACATGAACAAAGCAACGAACCTGAAGTGAAGACTTGTTGTATGAAAGAGTGAGATCTCAATGTACAGTATTATAGCTTCTCTGAAAGGGCATGGCATCAAATGCATTTCTATGTCTTTTATCTTCATTCAACGGTCCCAACGATTTATTTCCCTGTACCCACGCTATTAATCTTTTTCTTAGAACTTTTGTTACCTTGCGCCTGTGAACATGTACGGGAGTTCAGTTCAGCACTGTACTACAGATTCTGCTGTGCAGTTCATATTTTAGGTGCCATGGCTAATAGCGACTTCGAGGTTTGATTTTTTGGTAAAATGCGCAGGAGCAGGATAACCAGCAAACTTGAGCGTTGGAACGACTTCAAGACTCTCTCTCTGGGTTGTCAGAGTTTTACATTTGGATTGAACATGCTCAGTTTGGATGAGGGTACGCACTTGCAAGCATTTGCTGGGAATGCGTATCCACATCCGGAAGGTCACAGTTCCATTGGAAGCTGGATCTTTTCCAAATTAGACAGAAAATTAAGAGAGGAAGACCGAAGATTGCTACCTATGCCCTACAGATCCGCTAAACGAGAAAGGGCTTAGTTTTTTAAATATGTGAAATGTAACGATTATTTGGTGCAAGGTCAATGAAGCTTGGTAGTCATTACATGGCATCTGGTGAAAATACCGAGGGAGAATTGGGAGTTAAATTCATTAAATCTGCTGGCGAAATCATTAGGGGAAGGTAAAAAGAATTTGGAGATGTGAATGGACTGAGTGACCAAATGATACTGCACATTCTGATGATAAATCGCTGCATCTTTGTGATGGAGTCAATATTATTTAGCGATTAATTAAATACTTACCTTAATTGATGCGTGCAAAAGATTGCCATTCCAAGGCGAGTCCTTCAACTACAAGGTCAAATACAGCAACCAACTGTTCAAAAGTGGCGAGAGAAGATGGAAATGAGCGGCAGAAAAATTGTTCGGAGTGACAGCCGGTCTCCCCAAAGCGAGGCACGACTTTTGAACCTGTCTTGCAGGCTTCTTGATGAGTGGAGCACTCTTCCTGCAAGCCTCGTCAAGTTCCTCACGAGTTTCCACGGATCTGTTCTTCGCTAGAAAAATTCCAAATGCGACACGGTGTTTTTGAAATTAGATTTTCAAAATCCTAATAAAAACGAATGCAAGCCAGTATCACGTGACTCCACAGGATCACCAGGCGATAACCTCCCTTCAATATAAAGGTACTCCTATTGACGATTTCACTTCCTAGAACAGGGACCAGGGACATTACTACTTCACCGCTTCTTGCACTCTCAGAATTAGAGATCCACAAAAGTGCAATCTGTCAGAGCAAGAAGAGCTCACCGGAACCTCAGTTGTCCATGACGGTCGAGTAATTTTTACTCCAAGCCAGTCTGGTTACTTTGAATATTATATCTTTCTTAGCATTTTCAGTAGTAGATCAGTATTAAAGATCCTGAAAAGACACGCCACAGCATCGAAACAAGTTCATTGGTGTCTCACAAATCGGAATCGATTCAGTAGTTTTAGCTCTTGCAGGTTGACACGTATTTCGGATATTAAAGTGCTCGTCTAGCCGAGTACTAAATTTACACCCCCTCATCCAAAGACATGTTGAGATGAGTCCATCAGAGCTTAAAATGTCGATATCAGTTCGTTGGTCTGTTTCTCTTTGCCAGCCTGTATTCCCGGTCGCCAGTAGAATCTCATGCTAAAACACGTAGGCCTAAAAATACGGGACCAAAAAGGATTAAACTTCGAGGGTTTGAAACCATAGCAAGTGACGCTAGCGAAACTGCTTTGGATTTCATGCGCGACAGGTAACGCGAGTAAAGGTTCGTCCACACCATGAACATTTTCTTTGCAAGTTAACTTACAAATAAAAATGGCTTTCATGGCGTGGACGCCTCTGAAAGCTTTATTTGCAAAATGTGTAATGCTCTGGAAGATTTCTTCGGAAGTTTTCTTTCCAAATTTTTTCTTTTGCGAATTTCCTTCATCGTCTATGCAATAAATACTTTCGTGGGAAGTAGTAGAAGGCAGTTGTGCACTGCAATTATTACTATGAGGTGTAGCGCCCGCCATGACTTCCCCAGTCCCAGTTCCCGCCTTCCCCAGTCAGGCGCCAGGCTACGGTCCTCGAAGGGGTTGAAATTAATTGTTACTTCTCCTCTACACGTGTCCTTTCATCATTAACAGAAGAGAATGACAGAGAATTATGACAGCGACAAGTGAGGACAATCTGGCGGCCTTCGTGAAATCTCTGGCTTTGCCGCGATTCCGCTGTCACGAGGGATCAGAGGTCAACCACTTTCCCACAAATCTCCTGAATCCATTTTCGGTAACATCCTTCCAGCCTTCTGACCATTCAGCGTCTGAGTTTACCGTGACGTGGACAGACATGGAGAACAGTATAAAAACTCGACTTGGAGGGTGGAGGGGGAGGTTGGTGAAGGGTTCCGGACTTCGCTGCTGCTGCTGCTATCATCAGGCACCGGGGTTAGGGTCCCTGTTTGGTAAATCGAAGCCTTGCTAATTAGCCAAGCCTCGGTTGGAGCCGAGGTGCCTAAGCGCTGGTTGTAGCCGGGCTTGGGTGGATCTGGTTGGGGCCAGATTCGGTTCCTTGCTGGTTGGAGCCGGAAGGAACGTTTAGAATTAGCAAGGCCGAAATCGGATTGTGGGCGTGCGGACAATTGGAGCCCGAGCAACCCCTTCCGGTTTCGTTGTTTAGCCGTGATTGAACAAATCACGAGACCTCGCGAAAGTGCTGCATCGAGAGGGTGAGCTGAATCATTTCTTGTTCAGAGAGGAATATTCCTTAATTTTTGTTCAATCACCTTTTAAAGCGAAAGCTGTCAATCGCGAAGTTGTGCTGAGAAAGATCCTGTATATTCTTATTTTGGGTACTTTGTATGATGAAATCTTAGATAAACGAAATCCTGTGTGAAACCCAGTCTGTTGGAATTATTGTCTGATTCCGTCCAACCAATACGAACCCTCCCAAGGGGACAATTTCTAATATCCTTTTTTTAAATTTTAACTTCTTATTTCACGACAGTCAAGGTAGTTTGCGGGTAGCTATTAAAGTACAACGACGTACGAGTAATACTACCGGCCACGCCAAGGCGACCGCGAGCGTTACAGAGGCAAGATAACTAATGATTTGAATCGGTAAAGCAAAGGTTTTTTTGGGAATGAAAATGAGATGGGAGGAGCTGGGCAGTCGGAATGACAGCCGAAAGAGCGACAGTGCATGGACCTCGTCGAAGGAGGAACTACAGGCGAAGATCCTCAGCGCTTTCTCACCAGCGATTTGTCATTTGTCTTACGGAAACCTCTGCGGCACACAAAACTGCAAAAGTTGTGGCCTTGAAACTGCTTGGAAGCAAAGATATTGAATGGAGGTGCTGCATTGTGAATGTCAAAATAATGCAAGGACCAGATATTTGGCTTTCATTGCAGTCCGTCGAGAATGTCGCGCCCAATTATTTTTTTTAATGCCGTAGACGCCTATAACATGTTTTTCCCTATTGAAAATTCCACTCTCTCCGTGAGTGGAATCTTCAATGACTCTCGGAGAGAGCTGAGCTGGAAGGAATGCTCTTGGAGTAGTATCTGTGAGGAGCTGGAGGCAATCGGCGCGAGACGTCCTTGGATAGCCTCTCAAATTCGCCGCCGGTACCACTCGACATTCCACCTTGTGGCAGCTGTGGCTAGTGGACTCTCCTCTAATCTGAACAGGTATGCGTGCTCATTTAGTTTCCTTCGATCTCGTTGAAATGTAAAAAATCACTCTCGACGTACCTTCGTGACCTACGTCTGGCTTCATGGTGCATGGTGCTCTCGATGAATTTCCCAGGTAAGGACAGGATCAAGATTGAAAATGGGAAGTGGAGAGGAGGGAAAGCTTTGGGGAGGCCGATTCCTCACAGGATCAGCAAAAATCATGGACCAACTCAATTTCTCTATCGCATACGATCGAAAACTTTGGAGGGAAGACTTGGACGTGAGTCGCATGGACAAGTTATGTCTCTGAGGAAGCATTATATTGAATCAGTATCCGATCGAAAGCTTTAAAACATCCTCCACAAAGAGATAAAAGTCGAGCGGGTTCTTGTAAAATGGGCATTAAAAAAAAAGAAATAATGCGAGGGATAGAATCCTGCACGGCAAAGTCTTGAAAAATGAGGAACAACACATCTTATACTTAAGGCTTCAACACCGTGAGCCAACATATTTAATACCCCACTTGTATCATTCCTGTATCTTTCAAGCGAATAAATGGATTTCAATGGAATTTTCTTGTCGCCCATCGTCCTTGTTTCTGCAGAAGCAAGTTGATATTAGTCAAGGAAATCCGGAGGTCTGCGTTTTTTTTAATTTTCGGTCAGAAAATATGCTGAGTTCGCTGATGAATGTGGTAGTAGAATCACCGCTGGTGAACGTTTGTCATGTGCGCTTCTCAGTGCACTAGTATGGCCTGGCTCGCGCAGATTTATTTCTCTTTTCGTAAAAAAAAAAAAAAAAGTTTTTGAATGTCTGCACGTGTGCAGTTTTCATTGCCAAATACCGTGGAAAAAAATACATTCATCGGATTCAGCCTGCATTAGATTGAACCACAGTGACAGAATATGTATGCCGACTTTCTGGCTCGACATTTGCAAATGCTCCTATCTCCGCATTCTTCTAATTTCAACCAGTATGTGCAGAAATGGACAAAAGTGCACGAAAATAAAAATTTCATGAATTCGTTTGAAAGATATAGGTTTATAAAAACGTCCCCAAATGTTTTGCCTCAACCCGGGAATGTGCACGTGTCGTAGAGATCTGCCTCTCTCCTATCCTCATTTTTCTATGCTATTAAGCGACAGCTTGTGAAAACTTAAAATAAGAGAGGCGGGTGAGATCCGGATTTTCAATTATTTCCAATTATTTCCCTTAAGGCGATTGGAAAGTAGAATACGGCATTGAATATAGAAATTTTGCATGCTTCACCACTACTTTCAGAATCAACCTTTTAAGCACTGCATGAAATACAGTAGGCCGCGCGCCTCCAGCTGAGTTATTTTCCTGAAAACAACCCTTAGTAGACATGGTAGTGAAGGGACCATGTTTATCCTGTTCGAGAATGAAGTTTCTCTTGAATGACAGGGGAGCATAGGGTATGCTGGGGCGTTGGGAAAAGTCGGCCTTCTGTCGAAAGAAGAAGAAAAGAAAATAGTCGACGGACTATCACAGGTAGAGTTTCTCGTTTTTTCCTTTTGTCGCCATCTTGCCGGAACTGATCCTATTGTGGAATCTCAGATTAAGACGGAGTGGGAGAATGGATCTTTTCCGATCAGTCCATCCGATGAAGACATACACACGGCCAACGAGAGAAGACTCACGGTCAGCAGATCCGTATATTTGCCAAACAGCACATAGGATAAAAGACCCAGTGATGGGCCTGTTAATGGCGGGTACTCAGTGATGGGCCACTTCGCAGGAAAATTCCAAAAACTAGGCATTTGTTCCATTACCACCTCTGAAGTGGTGAAATGTGCTTGAATGCTGCTAGCCTATGTCATAACATGCGTAGGCATGCTATGGAAGCTTAGCTATTGGAATTTTTATGTGCTGTGGCCCATCACTGGGGATCGGTCCATCACTGGGTCTTTTACCCTAGCCAGGGGATCTGTTAATGAATGTCGGTGTTGATCGAGCTTGCATCCACGTCCTCAGGAGCTGGTTGGAGACGTGGGGAGGAAGTTACACGTCGGCCGAAGCAGGAATGATCAAGTGGCTACTGACATGCGACTTTGGCTGAAATCCCACTGTCAAGAAGTCAAAAAGGAGCTTCTCACTCTCATAAAGGTATACTTCTCCGGTATACAATATCATATAGTGTGAAACTGATTCTTCATTCCTGGATCGATAGGTTTCAGTGACGAGAGCCCAAGATGAGATAGATGTCCTCATGCCAGGATATACTCATCTCCAAAGAGCTCAACCGATCCGATGGAGTCATTGGCTGCTTAGGTAACACACATGGCTGTCCATAAATTTGTCGAATCCATTTCTCTTCTCGGCTCTCAGATTTCCCTGATTCTGGAATGTGATTTCGACCAAAAAGTACAGCACATGACTTATCTCCACAAATGCTCCCGATTTCATCCGGATAAAAGCCTCAAGGATGAATCAAAACTAATTCCTAAAAGATATGCGAATCGGATTACAAGTTGAATTGTCACTCTACTCTGTAGCCACGCTTGGGCGTTCTGGGATGACGTGGCTCGATTGAAGGAGATGGTGGATCGTATCCTCGTGATGCCACTGGGAAGTGGAGCATTGGCCGGGAATCCATTCGCAATCAACAGGAAGGAGTTGGCGGAAAGTCTCGGATTCTCCCACATCTCCCCCAATAGCATCCAGGCCGTCGGGAATCGAGACTTCATATGTGAGTAGGCCTTCTCATTCAATCGTAACGTAGACCATTACGCTCAATTGGATTTTTACTGATAATCCGCAGTTATATTCGGGATATTCGTGAACACGATGAAAACTTCTAGACCAATTTACTTCTCTTGGGATGTTACTAATCTTGTTCATTCCTCATTTGCTAATTAAAAATCAAATTATTTCTCGTAATCCTTCATAGTTTATTTTTATTCCTCTTATTCTATTTGGTCATTAACGTATTCATTTATCCACCCCAAATTTTACTGGACAACACATTCAATCAATTTATACTGTACTCGCATACGTAGTGGAATACTTATGGTGGTCATCATTGGTTGGAGTTCATCTAAGTCGTTGGGCGGAAGACCTAATTCTCTTCTCGACGCAAGAGTTCGGGATCGTGAAATTGGACGATGCCTTCAGCACCGGCTCCAGTCTCATGCCACAGAAAAAGAATCCCGATTCACTGGAAATTCTGCGAGGGAAGGCTGGCAGATTCTTTGGAAATGTAATGCTTCTTATCACGTCCCACATAGTCCATAACCATCCAATATTTCATCGCCTGATGAAGACTGGCAAAACGTTTTATACTTGGGCTTGAGGGCAACTTTTGAACGTACTCAAGGTGTCTATGTCTCCAGATGAGCAAAAAAATAAGTACTTTCTTGTAATTGCATTAGCAGTAGGTGATGAAAATGTTGATGGTTGTTGGCTATTCGGTGCACAAATGCCTCGGAATCCACATGCTTCTCAGAGATGGTCATGTATATGTCTGGTATATAGCTGACTTCGCTTTACATAAGCGTGAAGGGACTTCCAATGGCATACAACAAGGATTTACAGGACGACAAAATTGCCATGATGGATACAGCAGAGAATCTTCTGAAGCTTCTGCCTGTTGCATCTGGGACTCTGCAAAGTTTGAAGGTTCCTCAGATTCCTCCTTCTCAGGCTCCAACACCCTATGAACAATCATTTAGAAAGTTTTGATTCGATATTTTCAGATTGACAGCAATAGGGCATACAGTCTGCTGAGTCCTGATATGCTGGCGACAGACTTGGCATACTACCTGGTCCGCAAAAAGGTAAAATAGGACAATCGTTAGCTGGCGGAATATTCAGGAATGTATGAAGTCGAATAAACCCGAATCTTGATGCATTGAAAGGTGCCCTTCCGAGAAGCACACGGGATCTCAGGAAAGGTCGTAGCTATGGCAGAGCAAAAAGGGAAATCCATCACAACTCTCACAGTGGAAGAACTGCAAAGCGTTTGGTCAGTTTAAATCATTATATCTTAAAATCATTATATACAAACAGTGAAGTAAAATAATCATGTACAAGGTTTTTCAGAACTTTCAATAAGCCTTTTTGGGAGCTTCGTAAAGTTAATCGGTTGGAAATATTTTGTTTTCTGTTTTACCCCAGTCCGAAGTTTGACCAGGACGTCAAATCCGTGTGGGACTACGGTTGGAGCGTGGAGCAATACACAGCATATGGAGGGACGAGTCGAGTGAGCGTGGAACAACAGATTCAGCAACTTGATTCCCTGCTCCGAAAGGAACTCTCCTAGCAGAAACACGTTACGTACATCTATAGAACACTGCATTTTCTCTCTCGCGTAGTTATCATTACGATGTAGTTCAAGGTTTGATACACTTTCGCTGTCTGGAATTTCCACCTTGATTTGAAGATTTTTATTCGCAAATTTTCCAATAAGATTTCACTTGATCGATCTTCGTTCACTTGCTGGATTATTATTTCTTTAATTACTCTAAATTGGAAATTTAACTAGAAAGAAACTAGTTCAACTAGAAATACATATTTTCCATATTTTAAAACAAGAAAGTTGGGTGATCTTGGCTCCCATAATCCCTGCTAGTTTTCGAGGGCGTTTTCAAAAGTAATGTCACTGGATTTATTTTGAGTAAACCGTCACAGATATAGGCTCAAACTGAGTACAAGTGTTTAATCATGTTACCATTGAATGTCCCATTTTCTGCACGTTCTGTCACGTTCCACGCTTTTCCTCCAGCGTTAAACAGGGACGTCGAAGCTTACGTGGCAAAACGGGTTTAACTAGACATTAACTTGCATTGTGCACACTGAGCGCTGTCCTTATGGCCACATCTGCACATCAGGAAAAGGTTCATTCAGTGCCGTAAATAAGGGGGTAGGGGGCAGTGTCGTAGAGAGGGGGGTCGAAATCATCGGAAAAATCGAAAATTACGTTTTTGTTTGGACTTTGTTTGAACTCCAAATAAAGTTTGCGCCCCCCTCAGCCCGGGGGTAACTGTGTGGGAGGCACCTCTTGCGGGGCAACACATGAGGAAGGGAGCGTGTAGGGAAACAAGGGAAAAGCTAATAAGTTAGAGCAGGGGTGCCCAAATTACGGCCCGCGAAGGGGTTCTGTGCGGCCCGCGAGGAGTTTTGGAGAAAATAAGTATAAAACGTTTATGATGCTAGGGAATGTATGATTTTACGTGCAGCGGAATGAACGAAGCCTGACTAGGATTAAATTTTCTCGCCGGCGAATACGGGCTATTCCCGGCCAAAATGTTCGATTATGGAATCCTCCTGCCCGACACTTTTATTGAAGGTAACCATAAGGCGCTTTATTGGACTTGCCAACCAGGTGCCATCTGTGAGGGAGAGAATCTGCATGGCTGCCAGATTCTGCTGAAAATGCACGCATCACTCAATGGAACTTATTTTTGTTATAATTTTCGCAAGCAAATTTTTCTGACAAATTGATGGCGTCCCAGAATCCTCCCAATGGCCGTCACGACATCGCAAACGCACACCGCAGTATGGGATACGCACGAAAATAATTGATAACATTTCATGCCACCTTCCAACATCCCTATCTATTTTTACAACCCCACCTGGAAGGGATGAAGGGCGTATAGGAGCAAAACCCTGGACTTTATTGCTCCAGCCTCATCTGTCAAGCTTGTATGCTACTCGTCTCTCAAAGGACAAACAAGAAGGGACAATGTTGTCGAAACGGGTTCATCCCACGAGGACTAGGATTATCAGTCGAGTCTTGGCCTCATACCAAGCGACAGTGTGGGTTTGTGAGTTACAGTCTGGAATCTATTTTTCTGTGGCCATGTCAGCAGCAACCAGAAAACGTCGTATCGATGAAGAGAATCACGTATTTCAAGACAAGTGGACTCACGAGTACTTTGTCATTGAACAAGATGGGAAACCTCTGTGTTTAATTTGCAAGCAAAAAATAGCAGTGATGAAAGTACTACATGAAGCGTCATTATGAGACGAATCACAAAACTTTTGATCAATTTGTGGGTGATCAAAGTAAGCAAAAAGCTGAGAATTTGCTCAAGGGACTGCTGGCTCAGCAATCTTCAAAAAAGCTGTCCTAAAAAAAAACTAAAGAATGAAACTAAACTGTCCATGCTAGTTATGTTGTGGCCCACGAAATCGCAAGGCGGGGGAAACCATTCAGTGATGATGAATACATCAAAGATTGCATGTTGAAGGTGGCAGATATTGTGTGTCCAGAAAAAGAAGTGACATTTCATGATGTAAGCTTGCCTCGAATGATAATATCGCGTAGAATGGAGAAGATAGGCAACGAACTTCACAATCAATTACGTGACAATGCAGCCAAATATGTGGCATTTCCATTGACTTTGGACGAGAGCACTGACATCAGTGACACAGCACAGCTCCTTATCTTCCTTCTTGGCGTCACAGAAGACTTCAAGATTATTGAAGAATTACATCCACTCGTGAGCCTGGAGGTCCGCACGAGAGGCTGTGACTTGTTTAACGCAGTTTGCGGTGCAATGGATGAAAACGGCCTGCAATGGTCATCTCTAGTTGGGGTTACAACTGACGGTGCACCATCCATGACAGGAGCAAACTCGGGTGTTGTTGCCCTCTTAAAAGAAAAGGTGAATCAAATGAGTGGATCTGACATCATCCATTATAACTGCATTATCTTAGAAGCTCTTATATTGATAGCTCGTGTCCTCAAGTTAGATAACGTCATGGACAAATGGTCAAATGTGTGAACTTCATTAAGTGCGCCAGTTCAAGCACCTTCCTTGAAGAATGCGAAGCCGAACATGATGTAGTTTTTTTTTTCGGCAGCTCGATGAGAGCAGCTCGTAGAGGTGCAACCAGAAATGCTTCTTTACTCTTCGCAAAGAAATCAAGGAATTCATGTCACAGAAAGGACGTGGCTTGACGCAACAAGCGGACATCGAGTGGCATTCTTAGCATTCTTAGGGGTCATTAGCATCATGGGTCATTTTAATGAATTGAATATGAAGCTCCAGGGACAAGGGAAGTTCGTATCAACACTGTTTGACCATGTCTTTGAAAGAAAATTCAAACTGCTTCCGAAACAATTGAGAGAAGGCAACGTGGCTCACTTCCCAGCCTGTGAAGAGCTCTCTAAGGACGAGGGCCAGGACCAGGGCATCGTACTGAGCTCCGAGAAATACTCTGGGAATATTCAAAGTTTGCTAGAAGGAATCAACAGGAGATTCGTAGACTTCCGTTCTCATAAACAAGATCTGGCAATTTTTGCAGATCCCTTTTCATGCGACCCTGAAACTGCACCCACAAGTATGCAGATGGAACTCATCGAGTGTACTGAGCTGAAGGCTTCCTATCGTGACCTTATCCTTGACCAATTCTACTCAGACCTTCCAGCCCAAACGTACCCAGTTCTGTGTAAACACGGCCATCGTATGGTATCTCTTTTTGGAAGAACATACATTTGCAAGACTTTCTCAATCATGAACCTCAAATCAAAATGACGCACCAGACTCACGGATGAACATCTTCACTCAGTGCTGCGAATCTCAACTACCAATTACGAGCCAAGATATCCTCGGATGATTGCTGGAAAATCCCAGTTACATACGTCCCACAGTAAAAATTCGGCAAGCGATTTTTATTGTTATTATAATACTGTATGCAGAAAAGCAAGTTTTCGATTTTGCGGCCCGCGAACCCGTACCCGACAGGCTATGCGGCCCTCATGACACAAAACTTTGGGCACCCCTGAGTTAGAGGAAAATGAAAATAACAATATTTTGATTTTTCTCAAAAAAAAATTATTTTTATTGGCCGCTTATTGGCTCCGCCAATTTCCAGTCATCCCGACATGAATGCGAAAATTCCCCAATTCTCCAAGACCCGAATTCTTCCTGAAAGGGAGAAGAATGCTGATTGGCAACAACTAAGAGTCCCAGATGCTGGACCACCTCCAGATGAAATGCAGTTCTCACAGCAAGTAGACGCCATTTGAATCAATGACGCTTCACGTACCAACAAAGCGGATCCGCAGCATAAGATCCGAAACCAAAGATAAACTTAGTCTCATAAGCATAAACTTAGTCTCGTGCCTAATTGAGGTTTCGAAATCGCCGGGATACAAATTACATGATCATTTCACAATATCATTTTCAGGCGGTTATGCAAGTATACTGTATTTGGTTACACTGGCGACTTACTTTTATCAGCTAACGCTGATACGGACTGGAATTGTGAAAATGTTTCTGCAATAACTTCTTCTCTAGTTAAGATACAAGCTTCATTCTGGTGTCATTTTAAAATCTTCAGGGAGGCTGGTAACCCAATTAAAAGCACGACCAGCATGCAACGGATGTGGTAAAATGGAGAAGGAATTAATTCGTATCAGAGCATTTCGAAATTTCGCCTTCAGAAAACCACTGATTCAAATGAAAATAATGGGTGAGGTAGTCTCATTGTTACAAAACCATGATGTTGCGCCGCAATCAGTAGGTGCGGCGCAAATTGTCTGTTAACATGAAACTTTACCTCAAATTGTCAAACCTTCTTGAAGACGATTGTTCAACGCGTGAAATCACTTTCATTCTCCATGTTTATTGAAATACTATTTCTGGTTACAAAAAAAAACCTGCACAAATGCAGTCAAGTCAAGAATTCACGGTTCCAGAAGCCCTTAATTCCGAGACAAGTTCCTTTTAGGTCACGACAGCTGCAACAAGGCGCTTAGAGCTTAGAGCCTTGAAGACCAATGCCAACGTCTGATTGTGGAAGAACTTGCATCACAAGGATTTTTCTAGGGTTGCACCCATGATCAAGAATGCATTCTTTCACCAAGACAAGTGAAGGCTCGACTATGCAAGCGGCCTCTCAAATACAACGGTTAGAATGGGTTAGACGGAAGACCATTCGAAACGTGTAATTTGGTTATACGAGAGCGAAATTTAACAGATTTGACTATAACTATTGTGCGGGAAACTCTCTAAACAACTTCGACATGTCCAACCCACCATCCCCTTGGTGAACGTTTAACGTCTACGCAGGTGATGACAGCCCGGTCCCTTGGTAGCAAGAGGACATTGGAATAACAGCAGTTAAGTAAGAGAAAGGTAATATTCACTCCTGCGTGAGTTGTAAGATCAGGATTGAGTTTTGGGCGTGTCCACAGTGTCGGATGTGACATTCAGAGCAATATAAACGTTGCATTATATGTGTTTCACAAAACTGCAAAGGAATAATCAACCTATTAAGACTGTAGGAAACCGTCTTGGGTATTGATAATTTCACGATCGATAACCCCACTTAGCCTCCCTTGAAAAGGCTGTACATGTTTTCAAATGAAAGTGTCAGACGTGACATTTCATGAACCC